ARGTAAAGAGTGGTTCTCGGTTCTGAACATCTTTTATAGAAGCAGACGTGATTAATCTCTGAGTCAGGTAAGCTCTCAGCACGTTGACATTTTGAAAGTGGCTGTCACTTTGAGTTTGAGGGAAATCTTTGCGACTGTAACCTTTAAAACAATACTTGTGCATGTGATTATGTGCAGAGAGAGGTTCAAAATGTGTTTGAGAAATTTGTTAAAAACCAAAGGGTGTCTGTAAGGTTATGCTGGCTCTAATAATCACCTCAGAAGTAAAGCAGTGCAGGACAGAGTTGCAAAATCAAACAACCACGATGACCTACAGACACTGCTTCAAACYACATAACACTTCTGAGTTAGCTCCTATATGTAACACCTTAAGGCTGCTTTTAAGTTATTGTTCTCTGAAACACCATGAAAGCCAACGTCAACGTGGGGTTAAAGAAGTGAGAAAAAGAAAAAGAGTSCAAAACCTCTGAGTAAATTAAGCTTTTTTTTCTATCGAGACAAATGTGAAACATCCTTTCATATTACTCAGATGTGCTGCAGGTCAGAACTCACACAGTAAAACTTGACTCACTCTGAGAGCTCACTCCTTGCCCACCATCCTTCCATTAACATGCAGCAGTAATGTTCTCCATCTGGCTCTACTCTGACACAGAAGTTTAGATTGGTGGTGGTGGTGGTGGAGGGGGGGGGGTAATGGCTCACAAGCTGTTAGAATACCTTTTTGGCATCATATATAGTTCCACTTTGGCTCCAATTCCTTGGTGATAATGTGAAGCATGATGTCGTGTTGTTGGGCACGTAGCACAGGCATGTGAAATTGGCTCTTATTTATTTATTTATTTATTTATTTATTTATTTATTTATTTATTTAGTCTATTTGGAGCTCATTCTTACTGTTTTTTAACTAATATACTGAACATTCAATTGTCACAAAACCAAATTTCAAAAGATGCAACACATTTTTCAGCATTAGGTTTCTTTGGTGACCAATTTTATGTGCTGTTATGTGAGAAATGTCAGCGTTTTATAAAAAAAAATACTGTTATAAGTAGAAGAAACACAGGAAATCTAATTTAAAAATCCAACACTGTTCGTAAATATGCTCTGTTATATTTAAACTTAAAGCAACTTCATTGTATTTGGCAGGGTAACATTTTTATTTGGTTACAGTCTGCAGATTTACCACAAGATAGCACCAAATCCTTTAATGATGGTTTATTTCTTTTTTCAAGATTACCATAATTTTCTTACTTATAATGTTTGACCAAGGTTAGCTGATGAAAACAGCAACACTGTAGTATATATTATATTTCTGAGGTGAATAGAAGGTTTTGTTTAACAGATGATATATACAGACAGATGACACCCTAACCAACTTAGTTTCTCTCTCTCTCTCTCTCTCTCTCTCTCTCTCTCTCTCTCTCTCTCTCTCTCTCTCTCATAGTGAAGTTAAGTGTGTATAGATATTCAAAGCATGGATTTAATAAAAAAAAGGCACATTTATACAGCAAGGAAAAATCTCCTTCAGACCCTGTCACACTAGACAACTTATGCCAACTTATGAAACACTTTTTATGTCTAAATTGCTAATAAAAGTTGTATATTTGATTAATTACAGTATGTACACTCCTAAACGAAGCTTCCTGTCGATATTTTCAATTCCACTTGCAACGTAGARGTCTTTAAAATTTTTATAAGTTGGCATAAGATGTCTAAAACATCATAGCATGACAGGGCCTTTCCCACCACGTAGAAGAATTTTATCCCATTTGTAAAATAAATAAGGAGAAATGCTCCATTAACAGGGAATCAAGAAAATACATATGAAACAACGTTTGCATATTTATTCTCAGAATCATACAAAATARTATTGTTCAAAAATCAGATTTAGTTTTGATATAAAACATATTGTAACCAATCTAGCAGCTGTGGAGGTTGGATCAACAAAAAACTTTTATTTTATGGCAGATYATTAGTGTGAATTACAAATCCTTTAGCAGGCGAGGGGACAACTTCAAAACTTGAAAGTCTAGAATAAATTTGAAAAATTAGTTAAGCATTAATTGAACTTGCTTGATTTCAATGAACGTTCATAGTTTGACATCATGGCCCAACGATGAATTTAGGAAGGATGACGGTAAACAAGCAGAGGATTAGCAGTGGTAATTATTCACACAGATTTTAATGCCCACATCCCACTCACTCTGAATAGTTAAAACTCACCGTCGTTCATTGCATTTTCAAAAGGAAATAATGGTCCCTCTAATCAGCACTGGCAAAAAAACACTGGTACTACTTTATCTGACTCGTTTAAAATAAGCCTCACTAATGCAGAGAATCTAATCTTTTGTTGCCTCTTGACCACTGGCATTTTCGACAATCACATGAAATCAAATTTTCTGCTCTCACTCCCGCTTTTTACCACTCCATCTTAAAAAGTTCTTAATTGCATAAAGTGCTGCAGGAAATTATTCCCCCTCATCTGGTTCCCTGAGTGTACAAAACCCTCAATATGCTAAGTTGGTGGCAAACAACCCTTTGATCCAGATAAATGTAAAAAGATTTAGTCATTTTTGCCGGTTCTAAATGTGCTTCTGATTCAGCTTTTTTACAGCATTTTAGTAAAACTTGGGTTTGTTTATTTGTGCCAGGAAATATCTCCCTCAAGTTTCAGCTCAGCTCACTGCAGCCTCTGGGTTCAATCTGTTTACTCACTTCTACACCATGAAGACTGAGTCTTATGTAAATATATTACAGTATCATTTTATTCCATGCAATCACCTATTTGCATTTCCTTCAGTCACTCTGCATCATTCCTACCACAAGTGAAATTTATTATATGTTAATTTAAAGACGTTTGCATTAAAGCAGCAGAATGTCAGCCCAGAACAGACGGAGCAAAAAGCAGTCAAACTTTATTGAGCCTTTCATGCAGGTCAGAGATCCCTATTCAAAGAATACAGAACACTTAGGGCTCAATTTTTGTTCCTCTGATTGCAGGAGGTTTTGTAGATGTATAATGTGGTTTACTCAAGAGCTGAAAGTTCACCTCCAGTGAAAACACTCTTCACTGCACAGCGTCAGTCCACACGCAGCAAGAAGCAAAAGCAATAAAAGAAAGATTGAAGTAAAGTGACTTTTTTCTCACTTCAGTAAATCTTTATGAAACAAACTTTTCAGAAAATAGATAAGAATTTGGGTATCTTGGGGGAGTGTTTTGTCTTTGCATCATCTTCAATCTATTTGAACGATTTAAAGATACGTTTGACATAAACATCACTACGCATTTATTTTGTAAGGTAATTTCTCGGATATAGCTCTTAACAAAACAAATGACTCACTTCAAATGACCCTGACTGTTAGGTTGTGAAGCATTCACACAGAATTTTGAGTAGTGATGGGAATTCAGGCTCTTTTTAAAGAACAAGTTTGTTTGGATSGACTCACTAAAAAGAGACGGCTTTTTTGGCCACCATGTGGCTCAGCTGAATTTTTTTATTGCATAAATTATCACCAAAGTGGGTCAAWTAATACTAATGTAAAAACATTCAATATATTGAATGCTTATGTGGCAGAGCAGCTATGTACTATAGATCAACAAAACAACACTTCATACAATAAAACACTAAAATGTGTTTAACAATAACAACAACAGCATCTAGGTGCATTTTTTGCAATTTGCATGCATGAAAAAATTCCAGCAGTTACTGTGCGAGAGGTGAGTGCCACCCTGGACAGGTCACAAATCTAWGACAATCATCCACACTCGGACTCAGGAGACCAGTTAACTTAATGTGTGTCTGTGAGAGGAAAACAAGGCACCATGATAAAACAAGCAAACTTCACATAGGAAGCCTCCTCAATGAGAGGCGACATCCAACCACTGCTCCACAGTGTGTTTGTTTAAATGTTTTTTATATCAGCCTATTGGCGTTTAAAGAACGACTTCTCTTTCTCCCAGTGTGTTGTTGACACAGTGGGGCTATGTCAAACCTCTGTGCAGTTATCACACAACTGACACTTTTCTTGGGCTTAAAAGCTACATATTTATTTATTTTTTTGTTAAATTCTTGTAACATTCTTGTAACAATGTAAAAAGGCATTTCGATGTAAAAAGAGTTAACTGAAATCACACAGAAAGACAAAACACAGCAGCACAGTGCAGCAGAAACAGCTCATTAAAAAGAAAGCTGTTGTTCTGGTAACTAACAAAAACAGTTTTTTATAGATCATTTCAAAGCATTCATGAGAGCAACCTCACCTGATGTGGCATGACTTGTAGGAAAATGGCACACTGGCAAATGTTAAGACTGGGTTATTTTAGATTGAACACCAGTGCACAGGCAGAGCATTAATACAGGATTGTTTTTTTTTTTTCTCTGAACAATGACTCTCCCTGTAAAAAATCTGCACTGAGGCCATACAGCAATAGTTGTACATTTATATGCAGAAATTCCATTTGTGATAAAAGTCCTTGTTACAAAAAGAGTGAAGCAAAAACCTGATGAAAGTCTCTTTACTTATACTTAATCATTATGAACATGCCAGAGWTAAAACTCTGCTTTTGCAAAGCTCAGGTTTTTGATTTCTACACCTACAGTATCTACCAGCATCAACTGCAAAGAGGAGGGCATTTTTAATAAAGCAGTGCCTGTTTTCCTTTGCTGGCATGGCTTTGTCTGCAGTAAGATAAGTTTAGAAATATTAGTAAAAAAAGTCTGGCTTTCTTTAGATACAGATCTGCATCATTTCTCTTTTATCAAATTAAAAGTAAATGATTTATGAAGGTAAGATAAAATGAAAACAATCTTTATTATCTCTGACCAAACAAAACAAACAAAATTACGATCTCAGGATGAAAAAAAAACACATCAATAATACGTTCAGTTTCTGTGCATTTATAAAAATAACCTAAAAGTAGCAATGTTTATTTTATCGTGTTGATTCTGTTCTTTTTTACATAAAGCAGTAAACATAAAAATAATTTTCTTTATAACAGGATGAAAAATCTAACATTTATTATTAATGTACATTTATATATATACATATATATGGTTTTTGACATTTTACCGCTTTAGCCTTTTTTAAGATGTTTCCCAGCGATAACATTCAACACAATCGGATGTTTTTCAGTGTTTTATCATCATTTTTCATGRTGATGCTTGAAGTGTCATGTCTTATTCAGCATTGCTACAATAAATCTGCTGCATTTAAAACCAAATTACAATACGTTTTAACCTTGTAAACGTTTGTTTTTTCTGTTTCTTGTGTTTCATTCTTTATATCCAMTGATTTGTTTCATTACATCTTGTCATTGTGTTTCATTGTCTTCTATTATTTTAGATTTCTCCACCATTGTTTCCCTTTGTCGCCACTGCCTCCAGCAGTGATCACATCTTCCGTTATTAACACTAAATACTCGAGTTTAATCTACCCTGTTGTCAGATAATACTGCTTTTTCTGCAGTATGTTTGACATTTTTGTGCTGTCTAAGGTTGGTTAACAGTGGTAAACATCTTGGTTTTAGATTGTCGCCAAAAGGTAATCAGTTTTTTATTTCACCAGGCAAATTGCATTGAGATCACAGGTCTCTTTTGTGAGGAAGGCCAGAGCTTGAAGGTAACCCAACATGCATGCTTTTGTTCGTGGGAGGAAACAGAGCACCAGGAGAAAACKTATGTAAGCATGAGGAAAAGATGCAAACTCCACACAGAAAGACATCAGGTCTGAACTGGGGATCAAACTCAGCATCTTCCTGCTGTGAGACATCAGTGCTAACCAATGACCCACCAGTTAGACAGCTAACAATTACATGATTCAGTGTTTCATTAGACAGACACACGAACACAAACACAGGTAATTAAATAATCCCCTGCCTTTCATGAAGGCAGGGGATCATTATGACGCATTTTGTAAGTTCACCAAGTCCACAATTCAAACCAACAAAATGGTGACGAAGGCCTCAACGTTTAGTCCACATCGAGGGGTAAAAACTGGTCAACTACATCTAGAATTAATTGTCTCTTTGTACCAGACCCAGCAACAAAAGCAATTTGGTGACAAATACATTCAGTCTGTAAAAATCCCAAGAGGTCACAGTGTAAGTGAGAGACCAYGTTTCCTCCAAAGGTTTTGTCGCGATTGTCGATTCTCATCTGACACAAGAAAATCCCAACAAGAAAATCCCAACAAAGGTTCAAAAAAATTCCTTAAGAGCCTCCACGGTGAAAGAGATGATTGTGAACTGAAATAGATTTTTCAAAATATAGCCTCAATTGCTGTCATTCCTCTGAAACATACTCTCAAAGCCTCCAGGTTAAAGAAACAGCAGCAGAAAAGGCAGTGGTATGGCCTTAAAGGGATGAAATAAAGGGATGAAATAAATGAAGTGGAAAAATTTGAATGTCATCCTCAATGGTTCATTTTCTGAGAATTTATTTTATTTTATTTATTTTTTTGTAGAATGAATCATAAAAGCTGTGAGGAGACAAAAGCTGTGAATGGATCCTGGTAGATTTTTTTTTTCTTGTGTAATGAAAATTCTTGATAGTCTTCTATCTGTGCATTTTCTGTGAACCCTGTTGGGGGAAAAAGAGCTATTTACAAGGGGATATCCATAGCTCATCATTCATTGTATCATCTACTCCTTTGTACTTTCATGCAGATTTTTTTAAATAGGATAATGAAAAATTAGTTTCAGAATCCTATTTTGCATTGAAGATACTTTTGGTGCACAGGAAACAAAAAGAAAATTTAAACAAAATGTCAGAAACAATCACAAYCCTTTAACTGGAGGTCCTGCTGAGCGGACCTCGAGGAGAGAATAATTTTTCCATCACTCAAAGCACAGAAGGTTTGCAGGATTTGTTACGCATCACAAAAGACATCAGAAGTGAAAACTGCAGAGTGGAAAAAAGCTTTTAAATGATGGTGAGATTTTTTTTAGGAACCTCAATAAGAGCAGAGTCATACGGGGCCCACGAGGGTACATGGGGGGATTTTTTTTCTTTTGCGTTCCCACGCAATACTTTTGCGTTACCTCGCAATATTGTTTTGCGTTACCTCGCAATATTGTTTTGCGTTACCTCGCAATATTGTTTTGCGTTACCTCGCAATATTGTTTTGCGTTACCTCGCAATACTTTTGCATTACCTTGCAATATCTTTCTGTTCCCTCACAATACTTTTGCGTTACCTCGCAATACCTTTGTGTCATCTCGCAACACTTTTGCGTTACCTCYCAATACCATTGCATTACATTGCAATACCTTTGTGTTCCCTCACAATACTTTTGCATTACCTCACAATATTGTTTTACATTACCTCGCAATATTGTTTTGCGTTACCGTGCAATATTGTTTTGCGTTACCTCGCAATATTGTTTTGCATTACCTCGCAATACTTTTGCATTACCTCGCAATATTGTTTTGCGTTACCTCGCAATATTGTTTTGCATTACCTCGCAATTCTGTTTTGCGTTACCTCGCAATACTTTTGAGTTCCCTCGCAATACGTTTGAGTTCCCTCGCAATACCCTTGCGTTATCTCGCAATACTTTTGCGTTACCTTGCAATGTCTTTGCGTTCCCTCGCAATACTTTTACGTTACCTCGCAATACTTTTGAGTTCCCTCGCAATACCTTTGTGTCACCTCGCAATACCTCGTAATACCTTTGCGTTACATTACAATACCTTTGCGTTCCCTTAGTACTTTTGCGTTACTTCGCATTATTGTTTTGCGTTACCTCGCAATATTGTTTTGAGTTACCTCGCAATACTTTTGCGTTCCCTCACAATACTTTTGCGTTCCCTCACAATACTTTTGCGTTCCCTCACAATACTTTTGCGTTCCCTCACAATACTTTTGCGTTCCCTCACAATACATTTGCGTTCCCTCGCAATACATTTGCGTTCCCTCGCAATACCTTTGCTTTACCTTGCAATAKTTTTGTGTAACCTCGCAATACTTTTGTGTTACCTCGCAATACCTTTGTGTCATCTTGCAATACCTTTGCGTTACCTCACAATAACTTTGCCTTGCAATACCTTTGCATTCCCTCACAATACTTTTGCGTTACCTCGCAATATTGTTTTATATTACTTCGCAATTTTGTTTTCATTACCTTGCAAAACCCTTGTGTTCTCTCACAATACTTTTGCATTACCTCGCAATACCTTTGCGTTCCCTTGCAATACCTTTGCGTTCCCTCGCAATACCTTTGCGTTKCCTCGCAATACCTTTGCGTTACCTCGCAATACTTTTGTGTAACCTCGCAATACTTTTGCGTTACCTCGCAATACTTTTGTGTTACCTCACAATATTGTTTTGCGTTCCCACGCAAAAAATTGCTTTGATTATGAACTGAATTAAATCAGACTTTTATTTTGAAATACCCGGTTACCAAAACAGGATGTCTTGCCACAAATTTGTGAAATTGACATTGATGTTGCGTGGCTGCACTGTGTTAAAATATCGACATGTGACATACTTCCATGTGTGGTTGTGTGATATATTCATTCTGAAGCTGAATTAAAGCAGTAGGCTAACTCGCTAATGGTGAGCAGGTGAATTTGTTAATAAACCAGCAGGCAAAACAGTGARAAACGACTTTTGCGAGGGAACGCAAAAGGTWTTGTGAGGTAACGCAATACTTTTGCYTGGGAACGCAAAAGAAAAAAATCTCCCATGTCCCCTCGCGGGCTCTGTAGAGTCATGACTTTAATTTCCTCAGGAAAGTTTTAACTTTCAACCTGCAACCGTCAAAATCCCACAACGGTCCAGCCACGCATTTTCAGATCATGGTCTTTTAATTTCCAGTGGGAACTGAGGCGACCATGTGTAGTTATCTCTCAGCCACGATGGGCTCCACTGAGAGGATGTCTGTTCTCCCTGTAAGGGCCTGCCTGGCCGTGAAGAGCACGTGTGCTTCCTTCAGGTTATGGGAGTGGCTGGACGAGGCYTGGCTCGGCTGCAGGGAACCCTGGCCCAGGTGCGACAGAGCGTGGCTCGGCCTCAGGGATTCATGGTTGTCGGGCCAGGCGGCTCGGCGGCAGGGAGCGCAGGAGGCGACGGCGGGGCGGTGCTCCGGCTCCGAGCCGACCGCCACCCTCCGCCTCCAGCGGCACCTGTCGAACAGGAGCCGCAGCTCCTGACGGAAGGTCGGGTTCAGGCAGCAGTAGATGAACGGGTTGTAGCAGGTGGAGCTCATGGCCAGCCAGTGGAAGCAGAAGTACAGAGCGTTGGAGGAGTGGATCGCCTGGCTGGAGAGCAGCACCACGTAGCAGTTGAGGGGGAACCAGCAGACGGCGAACACGCCCACGACCAGGAACAGCATGGCCAGCGTTCGGCGTCGTTTCCTCCTCTGGGTGGCGTGCTGGGCTGTTGTCGTGTCGCCGATGGCGTTGTGACACCACAGCCGGCGGGCCACCGTGATGTAGGAGGCAGTGATGATGATGAGCGGCAGCACATACAGCAGGATGAAGGTCAGGAGATCGATGTACTGCCAGTAGACATCTGATGGCTCAGGGAAGTCTGGGACACAGAGGCTCCGCTCCTTTTCTTTACTGGTGAGGGGAAGAATGGAGAAAGGATGACAAACATGAGAATTTTATACAATTATGAAGAATAGTAAGAGCAAGAATAAGAAAAACATGATTTTTTTTCCACAGGAAATGCTAATTTTTTCTTAATTTTTCAGCACTGATCTATCTCATAGCTTATTTATCACTGCTGAAAACTATTTTTTCCATCTTTTCCCTTTTATATTAGATTGTGTCCCTGTGTCAAAACCCCTTTTAGAAAAACAGCACTAATCCTAAGTCACGTGTAACTTTCATCCCTGGGGAGCCAAAGGGGAAGAAAAAAAACTGTTTGTTTCTAACCTTAATTAGACAGCGGCTGGCCTCACAGACACGTCGGGCTGCTCAGAGTTTTTACCTGTAGGTGAAAGTCAGGAGTTTTTGGTAGATTGCATGTGGGAGGGAGAAGCAGCTGGCCATTATCCAGATAACAGCGACCCAAACACCCCCTTGTGTTGGAGTCATGCGTGGTCGGAGAGGATGTAAAATCACCTGAGGAAACAAAAATCAACAAGCACATTTCACATCTACTGCAGACGCACACAAACACACACACAAATACAACAAATCAATAGAAGGCATCTAACCCAGACCAACGCGTGAAGCAGAGAAAAAGAGTAGCATTCTCAGAATGTTGCTAATGAACCTGTGGCTCCGTGTTACTCATGGCTAAAAAAATTTAATTGAATTCACAACATAATTAACTGTCTGTTTGTTAGTGGCAGATATGAGTTCTTTGTAGTGGTGAACAGAAGAGGCACATCTTAACAAAAGCAATTGTTGGGTGGCTGTTAAAAGGAAGAACAAAAAAATAAATAAAAAGACGTGCTGTTTTTCTGCACGATAAGAAATTAAATCTAGTTGCAGGGATTTCTGCACAACTGAAGGCACTCACGACATGACATTTTTTGCCATTTTCAAGGCACTGAGGACGTTCAGTGCTGACGTTTCTATTTTTTTTTACCCCCAGTACAGATTRTAATTTCTTTTTAAAAGCTATATTAATCACAAATGAAAATAAACAGAAAATGTTTCCAACATTTTCACAAAACCTGAAGCACAGCAGAAAATTCAAGCAGGGATACCAGAGGCAAAGTGTTGGTGTAGATTCTCAGGGATCCAGGACCCAGCAGGACTCACTAAGGGTGTCTTTTTAAGGCAAGCACACTTTTTATTTTTTCTCCTTGGTGAAAATGTTTCACCTCTCCTCTGAGAGGCTTTCTCAGTTCAAACCCAGTGTCTAACCTATAAAGCTGCAGTGAACTGCTGTGTAAATTGGTGTGAAACTGTCTTAAGGATTTAATTCAAAGCTGCATTCTATGTTCTGGAAAGTTGAAACCTGAGACCACCTCCTCCTCTGTTTATCATTAGCCTCTCCCGTTTAACATTTTCCTTCACCCTCCTCTGAAACCCTTTATCTGTTCTGTCCTAAACATGGACATCAGTGTCCTCAAAGGAGTTCCTTATCCTTGAGATGTAGAGGCAGAGTCCTGGCCTGAAGAAAAGGTTAGGTGTGTGCGGTGTAGGCCTGTCGCAATAAATCAATGAATTGTGCAATAAATTAAAATGAGTTCCATAATTTTCATTTGCCTGCTTGTTTCATTGTGTTTCCCTTTTTTCTACATTTTGGCGTAGGGAGGAGTGAACTTTGGCGTCAGGTATTTGCCAGGAGCCTGGTCTCGTACCCTCTGGAGCATGAGTGCTCCATGAACAGGCATTTAGCTAAAGAGGAGATGCCTTCTTTCAGCTGGTGACACCTCAGGATGCCCTCAGGGTATCGTGCCAAACTTTGGGTTTGTATAAACTTGCATAAAATTCCTAAGCAGTGTGCAGGTGACCGCAATTATTTTATAAAGCCAGAGAAAGACACAAAGAATAAATTGTGCTGACATGGATAGAGGTGAGTAGCGATGTTAAAGCTTCAGTAGCTGTTGTATTTTGTTGTCACATCTGCTCCCAGTTGGTTATCAATACACTGGTTTAAAATGGTCTCTAAGCATTATTATTTATTGTGCAATTTATCATCCAGCAAAATGTCGTGACAGGTCTAGCACAAGGGTGGTTAGGTTTAGGGTACGGAGCCAGGGTTAGGTTATAGAAATTTAAAGTAATGCTGCTAATGTCTGCTGATAGAGGCATGRARTCTGTCCTCCTCTTACTGGACCTTTCCTCAGCTTTTGACACTGTCGATCATACTATACTCTTTTGAAATCTGAAGGACATAGGGATGTCCAGGGTGGTGCTAGATTGGTTCAAATCATACCTCTCAGACCACTCTCTCAGTCTTATTAGGCCAATCTCTCTCTGACCCAGCCTAACTCACCTGCGGAGTTCCACAGGGTTCCATCCTGGGCCCAATTCTATTCCTGCTCTACATCCGCCCCCTGACTGAGGTCATCAAAAAATTTCCCAGACATCTCCTACCATTTCTATGCAAATGACCTGCAGCTACACTGCTCCTTTAATGACTCCACCACCCACAAGCTCACCTCTCTTATAAAATGTGTCACTAAGGTTAACCAGTGYCTGTCTGACAACTTGCTACTTTCAAACCTCAGTAAGACAGACATTGATCCTGTCCCCTGAAAATAAAATCCCTAAGATAAAAGAACATCTCGGCTCTTTGAGTTCAACTGTCCAGCAGAATGTGCGCAACCTGGGAGTAAATCTTGATTCAGATCTGTCTCTAGATAAACACATAAAGAACCTGGTTTCTACATGCTACTTTCAGCTTCGTAATATCTCTAAACTCCGGCTCCTGCTGTCCACTTCAGACTTGGAAGTGGTAATTCAAGCTTTCATTTCTAGCCGCTTAGATTATTGTAATAGCTTGTTCACCTGTCTTAACCAGAAACAGTTAACTCGCCTTCAGCTTGTCCAAAACTCAGCAGCAAGACTCCTAACTCGAACCTCCAAATTCACCCACATCTCCCCGATCCACTGGCTTCCTGTTCAGTTCAGAATCCGGTTCAAAATCCTGGTCCTCACCTTCAGAGCTCTTCATGGCCAAGCACCCTGAATACATTAAAAGCCTCATTTCACCTTACAACCCCCAGACGAGACCTCCGCTCACAAGATAAAAATCTCCTTATGGTTCCCCTCACTCGCTTCAAGACTCATGGTGACCGTGTCTTCTCCTCTGTGGTCCTCAGGCTCTGGAATGAACTCCCTTTTAATCTGCGCTCCCTTGATAGCATTGTCTCTTTCAAGACACTCCTAAAAACTCACCTTTTCACTCAAGCGTTTAGCTAACCATTTTTTCACCACAAAAGCCAGCCTACCTCCATAGTGAATGCTCACCAATCTGTGTTTTTTATTATTGAACTTACACCGTATTTTTCTCTCCCACATTGATTATGTTTTATGTATTATTGTATATTTTGCCTTGAATTAACCTTGTGTTTGAGTAACAATTTTGGAAATTAATTCTTGATTTGATGTTTCATTTTTTGTTGCTTATGTTTAATTATGTTTTCTGTTTCATGTTTTTCTTTTCACCATTTTTATACTGTTAATGATTGCACAGCACCTTGTGAATATATTTCTGTGAAAGGCGCTTTATAAATAAAACTTTACTTACTCTAGAAATTTAAAGTCAGTGCAAAGTCTCAATGAAGATATAGTGCTAGACTGTGTGAGTGTGTGTGTTTTTGAATGGGTGCACTGAATATGGGAGAATCAGACAACAACCACAGACGTAATCTTGTATTCAACAGGTACACATCCACCCTGGAAAAAACACCTACAGGTCATATTCTCAGTTTCTAAACAATAAAAAAGTGTCAATAAAAAAGTTATATAACTGCAAACACAGTTCTTTTCCATCATTTTATTTGGATGCTTTCCTACCTGATAAATCTATATTTGTGTGATCTGTTGAAATAAGTAGGAARTGGTCTATATGTCAGTTTCTTACAAATAAAACTACATTTAGGTTGTTGATTGACTTTAAAAAAAACTTCCAACTTTTCTAAGAGAAAGGAAATAGCATTTACTGAGCAAGCCAAACAAGCCAATCATTTATACTGAGTTTAAAAAAATGGAAAAATCAAATACAAACATCTCCTAATGTGTCATCTGTATTTATGATTTGTAATTTCTTGCATCAGCAGGGGTCATTTTAGTCATCAGCCTTTCTAATACTATAACCTATTTCTGTAGTTTTGCTGTGTATTGATAATTGAAACTTAGAGMACCACCTGCTGCTTCAAAAAATGTTTTATTCTTATTGTTATGATTTATAGATCAGWGTACAATACTGAAGACTTTACTTAAAAACCTCAGACACAGATATGAGACAATGTTATTTGTATTTATTCTGCTCAGCGATGTCATCATTTGTTAACACCTATGCTTTGATGCTTGCACTAAACTCACTGAACTCGTCTCCATTTGGGTAAAATTGATTTCCTTTTTTATTATTTGTTGTGTAAAACAGAAGCTTCCTGTATTTGAGTGCATTAGCGAGCTAAACGAGTGCCAGAATTTGCAGCCCCTTCTCTCTGGAAACAAATCCTCCTATCCTTTGCARGATTATCACCTCTGTATAATTGAACATCGTGACTCTTTAACAACTTGGCTTTAATGAGGCGGTGCCAATAAAACATTCACTTTAATTCAGTACCACTGACTGCATTCACCACCCAGGGAGGAGCTGGACTTTGTTCCGACACAGTCTGAAACATATCATTAGTGCGGCGGCTGCCACAATGCCTCACACAAACACTGTGGATGTGAGGACGCAGAAGAACAGGGGAAAAAAATGACTCGATTTCAATTTCCAGAGCTGCAGCAGCAAGAACTATAAAAGTATTTGAACAATGTTTGAATCCTTTTAAAGGTTTTCATGAACCTGAAGGATGCTGTCAAGGTTTTCTGAGGTTGTGGGGTTTTCTGTGTGGTCGGCATACAGTGCTCCACAACAATCTTGAATCATCCCTCAATTTTGCTTCCAAGCAAAAGTCAGACTTTCTTACAGTCTTTTACAATGGTCTTGGTTAATATTTTTACAGATCTTTCTTTTAATCTTTGCTGCTTTTTATTCATTTCAGTCCCAGTGCCTGATTTTTTCATTGGACTGTTTGCTTGTTGTTAATCCACATAGTTTGACCTCTCATTCAGTGATTAAAAAGATTCCTAACATCAAGGAGAATAACTGTTCTGTCGACACACAAGTTCGCAAAAGAAAACAATAGTGTGTGTGTGTATTGGATATTTTCCATAAACATTAGTTGTTAACTGTTATCTTTAGGAGCTGAAGTTGTAGAAATATAGCAAAAATTACAGCACCAATAGGCTCTCATCCGATTACTGTGCACCAGATGGAGCAAATACGACCTGTCCAGTATGAACAGGGGRGAGTCCTTCTCTTTGTGTGCAGAATGCATGGAGGCTCAGGCAGTGAGTGAAGCAGAATCTAGCTGGTGTGATGATAAAATGTAWGAATTTCTGACTGAAGTACATTATTTTATGCCTCCATTAATCAATTTGCT